CCGGGAACGAATTGGATGACGCCCGATGGCACACCCGCTTCTGTGAAAATTTGGTGCACGATGTAGTTGGAATAGGTGGCCATAGGAGAGGGCTTCCAGACCACGACATTGCCAAGGAGGGCAGGCGCTGCAAAAATACCATCAGCAAAGTTTAATCAAACTGAGACTTCCATTCTACTGACCACCGGGTAGGTTACCACCAATGGCGGTGAAGTTGAAAGGAGAAACAGCGAGAACAAAGCCTTCAAGGGCGCGATACTCGACGCGGCTGGAAGTAGAGAATGTAAGCACAAGTGCTTTGCAGCGAATTACCCAGACCTACTTCCAAGCACCGGGGGCGTTCTTGGGCGGTTGCTGAGCATAGAGGTCTTCCACATATTTCACGCCAAATCGCAAGAAATCTGCGAACTGCCAAACCGATTAGATGCGCTAACCGAGAAAAAGATTGCAACACACCTCTGCAGCAGCGTCGATCTCAGCTTGCCACGCGTTCTTCCCTTGGCCAAGGATCGTGGCAGCCAGCAGTTTGTAGCGGTACTTACCACTAACAAGATCCGCCGCCTTGAGATAGATGGCAGCCCTGTCGTTCCAGGGCATGCTCTCCCACTCGGCTTTGGCGGCGAGCGCCCCGTCAATGGCAGCAGCGACGGTCGCCTGATCAGCTTCGTGATAAGAGCAAAGGTGATTAGCGTGATCAGCTGGCATAGGCTGCTTCGCGAGCTTGCCAGTCTTGACCTACTAGCATGCGAGTGTCAAGCGGCTGGGTGAGCTATAGTCGGAGAAGCACTAACCGGCTTGCCGTTGACGATGCAAGGAACCTCAAAGGGAAGCTCCTTCTCCATTTGAGCAATGGCTGCCTCGAGACCCTTGCGCTCTGCAGAGCCAGGGGCATAGGTTCTCTACGGCTCTCGAAGTGAGCACACCCCTCGGATCTTGGACATCGCTGAGAAACGCACCATGGGCTCATTCTCGATAGCGGGCACCTTGAAAGAGGCAAGTTGTGGATTGGCCATACTGTATTTTGGATGATGGTGGTGGTGTTTCAAGGTAAATCGAGCTTCGAACAATCGCTTGAGCTCGCCGCTCGCGTAGAGGGCGCACAAGAGGGCACAAAGTATCCCGCGCCACAATCACGGACCCCATCAAACCAGACCCAGGGGCTTCCCCGAAAAGGAGCTTCGGGGCAATTGTGATCGGCGGCGACGTCGCGTTGCCATTTTCCTTCGCTCACCACTACCACCACTACCACCACCACCCCACCACCTCTTCCTCCTCTTTTAAGTCTTCTCCCCCTCTGCGCGGTCAGATGCGCTCACATCTATGATATCCGCCTTCGTCTTGACAGATATCTGTTAGGTCTTCTCCTAGAGCTTTAGGGATGGGTGGTCAGGATGGTGTTTAGCCTTGGGGTTGGACGGGCGGGTTTCCATCCTCCGCTCAACAACTAGCCTACAGATACAGTGTAGGTAGCTAGCAATACATTGTTCATTCTCTCCAAGGCGCCCCAGCTTTCCCATTACCCCCTTCTCAGCCCATAGCAATTTACTGAACAGTGATCTTGCTCGGTGCTGCCATTGTAAATATTCATGTACATACCACATAATGCAAGGCCTATTCCTATCATGCATTCTGACAGCACTTGTAAGGAATATCCGTCATAGTGAATCCAAGCCAGCCTCTCCTAGTACTGGCATAGACTATTTTATAAGAAACAAAGTATACTATTAAAATGATACATAGAACAAGTCAGAAACGGGGTAGAAAGGTGGGATGAAAGGTGACTATGTACTAATACACGCAGTGATGTGTTATGATCATCGAATGCAACCGGCGGGAACGATGGCGGCGACGACGCGTTGCCGCCGCCCGATACTCCTTTTCGGGGAAGCCCCTGGGTCTGGTTTGATGGGGTCCGTGATTGTGGCGCGGGATACTTTGTGCCCTCTTGTGCGCCTAGAGGAGAAGATTATTTATGCCGCCATCAGGGGCGGATCATAACTAGACCTAACATAGATAAGATAAGATAAGATGCTAAGGGTATCCTGCTTGTATATACGTATAAGTTAAGCGTTCCAATAGCCAAAATCATATCGTAGCAGGCAGCTCGTCGATTCTCTGTTTCAGGTCCCCCAAGAACCCGAAGGACGCCAGCACACTGCCCGCACATCGCCCACACCCTGAGCCATCCACCGCCTTGGCCAAGAACCCCATGCTGAAGATGACATCCGACGTCGGCCTTATCGCAAGCTCTTTCTTCGCCATCTCTTCCCACACCTTCCACCACTTTGGCGCTGCGAACGAGCTGGCGAGGCCGTGGCCGTTGCACTGCATGCACTTTACTTCGTCGGGCACCTTGAGCAGGGCCTGAGCGGCGTCTGCCCGCCGCCGGTGAAGGTTGAGCAGGCGGACATATGAGTGTGCAGTGATGAATTTGAGATCATCGGAGAGCGGGCAATCGAGAACGTTGACGTTCAACGTGTGGCTGGATGCGATTTGGGCCTCTGGTTCCAGCTCATAACGGCTGGCGATGGCGAATACGCGTGTGGGGTGGGCCTCGAGGAAGCGGGGGGAGACGAGAATTTTGCGTAATGCTGATACGACTGAGTCAAAGTCATATTTGCAGGCAGCGGCCAGGACGGCGTTGAGCTTGTCCAGTGAATGTATATCGGGGTTCTCGACGGGATAGACGAAGCGCAAAAGCGCATCTACCGTCTCGCTTGTCTCTGATATGGGGGCGGCGGGCACATGTGTACCACTGGTCACTTTCTGGGGCAGTGTGAACATTGATTGGAAGAAGGTAGAAGCCGCTGCGAGAATGCATTTGTGGACTCTGAACATCGCGTTGTCGGTAGACAACAAGATGATATCAGCGTCTTCGGCGTCGAAAGCGTATGAAGTAGTAGACACCATGATAGTGGAGGTTGATGATAGTGGGGGCTGGATTGAAACTAAGCAACACACAGAGCCCAGACTGGAGCATAAGATATCGAACGATCGACTCATATATACTCAGCGGGCACAGGCCACAGCATCACATTTCAGATCGACTTGGGTGACGACGTGGCGCTGCGGCCGCCAAACTTTAATGAAACAGCTTGTTTCTGATGAGCAAGCGTTTGAGCAGGAGCAGTGGCACAACAAGAGATCCACCGCAAACCTAAATGGTGGGCAAATGGTGGCAGAGAAAGAGAGTGATACACAAATAGCTACCGATAACGGCGCCTCTCTCTGTCCCCGCTCCTGCTTCTCCGACGGCTCTTGTCCCTCGCCGACGTCACCATAGGCGACCGTGAACGGTTGCGGCGGCTGTCCTTATGCGAATCCCGCTCCTTGCTCCTGCTCCTGCTGCGCTTGCGCCTCCTCGACGAATCGCGCTCGCCGCCTGGAACATCGAACACCATGCCGTAGCCTCCAGCGCGCCGGTCATCATCAGCATCCCGGTATCGCCTGGTTTGCTCCAAGTCGTCTCGTCCGGCAAATCCTGGCCGTGCGCCCTTACCGCGTCCACCCTTCGGACCCATCGCGGGATTGTTTGACCAAGAATTATTAAGTTTCGCGACGGATTGGGAACTGTTGCGGGGTTAGCGCACAGGGGCAGGGCATTGTTGAGTCACGTACAAGTCAACCCATATCCGCCGATCGTCCACAAGGACGTTTTGCATCTTAAAGTACGCCTGAACCAGATGGTGGTATCAGCGTGGGAACCCGACGCGTCGGCGAGGACGGAGACTGACCTGCTCCGCGTCTTCACGCTTGTCAAACTCGATGAATGCGTACTGTAAAGAGTCCCCCGTCTTTTTGTCCCTGATCACCTGACAGCTCATGATAACGCCGAATCTGGAGAAGATAAGCTCAAGGTCCTCGTCCCTGGTGACTGGGTTCAGTTTGCACACGAAGAGCACGTTCTCAGGCGGCCGGACGTTCGCGAAGGGAAGATCCCCGACCATCTCGAGAGTGAGAGCTGAGGCTTCAGCGGCGCGCAGTCGTAGCAGCCGCTCCTCTTCCTCTTCAGGCAAGGTCGCAAGGGGGTCTTCGTCTTCTGCTATGCGCGTAGAATTGTCAGGGGGGCGGGTCGGCGACGCGGGAGGTTGTACCAGCCCAGGGGGGTCGGGAAAGGGGTCATCTGCGTGCCGTTAGACGACAAGCCTGAATGCCAATGCTGTTAAACTCACCCAGGACAAGAACGTGCCTGATCCTGACATCCTTGAATGGCCGCCCATCTGCATCCACGTAGACCTCGTTCAACTTTTCCAATGTCTCCAGCCCTTCGACTACGTGCCCAAACACCGCGTGTTTCCCGTCAAGGTAGTCAATGCCGTCTCCCAGGGTAACGAAGAACTGGCTCCCACAGCCGCCAATGGTTCTGTTTGGCCCGACTTCAATGGCGGGCGCGATGGCCATGGAGACTGTGCCCTTGTGCGTGTGCTTCAGACGGGGAACGAGTTCAGGTTTGAAGTATCGCGGCGCCGACTTGTCCAGCAGCGACCACACGCATTCGCCGCCTGTTCCACTTGCTGTTGGATCCCCAGCCTGTGCCAGGAAGTCTTTGGATACTGTAACGTAATATTTAGACGTAGCGCGCGCCAACGGCAGAAGGGAACGCACCATTGAAAAAGGCGTTGAGGTTGTAGTAGTACAGTTTACACAGCTTGAGGAAGTTTTCGCAAGTCTTCGGACATGATTCGATCTCTAGGTCGATGACTAGGTCTCCCAAGGATGTCTCAAAGAGCACTGACATGAAGCTGGTTGCAGCTCAGCCTGCTGCTGGGGCGTGTTTCTAGCAAGAGTTTCCAACTGCGAAAGGCTTCGAGGGATGGTAAATAATCACCAATGCTGCATGCAGACGTTGATCTGCGAGATTCGAGTCCAGATAAAGGAGATGAGGGAGTAAGCCTGAAGGCTCAATGGTATTGAGGCAAAGCTGGAGAGCTGGGCAGTAGACTGCAGTACGGTGACGATAAAGTACGGAACATGTACAGCCGCATGTGACATACATACATGGCCGCCTGGCGAAATGGCATCGCGTCTGACTACGATTTCGTACCGTTATCAGGAGATCGCAGGTTCGACCCCTGCGGTGGTCATATCTTTTTGACTTTCTTTTTCCCACTTCTCGCTCTGCCCACGATTCTCGGCATTTGTTCCGCGACACGTTCAACGGCGACCGCACATAGCCGCACATCTTGCTTTTGCTTGTGACCATTTCGACTTGAACATCTCATTCTGCGAACCTTGCTCCCTAATATGCGTTTGCATCGCGCTCATGGTCTATTACGTTTCTTTATCTATGCTAGCTTTGTCTCTGTCTTTGCATGTCCGTCTGCCGGGACGTGAAACTAGTAGCTCTCATCATCGTGTCTTGAAACAGCCCTCAATACCTGTCAGTATTATGGGTTCATCCATCCAGTGCGCTTCTCCATTCTCGACCTTTCCGCAGCTTTTGGACTCGTTTCAATTTTCAATTTCTCTCATCCTGCCTGATTTTCTCTACCGAATCCACGATGAAGTTTTCTGTGACGAAGAAAACTCTAAACCTGGACAAGACTGGATCTGACATAACCACAGCAACGAGGTCTTGTTTTCAATTGATCCATGCGTGCTCACCCGAGGCTACTGATTCTGGTCTCGATTGACCTTGAAATGGTGTCTGCGAACCTCTCGCTGAGTATGGTTTTCTTCACAGTCATTGTGCTGTATGTTATCAGTCAGCTTCGGATCGGCAATTATGGAAGTCACTTTCGCATCTATAGGAGGTCTACCAATTGCAATGTTCCGAATCTACTTATCTCATAGACTATCTCAAACCAAAACTAGCAGGCTAGGGGCTAAGTGATTCGGAACCTTCCGTTGGAGCTGCACTGGATGCCCAACCCTCCGCCGATAGCTGTTCGGGTTTAGCAGATGTCCATCACCACGAACCACATTATGGGGAGCTGTATTGGACAACCAGCGCTCTGCCGGTACCTGGCCGAGGTATCGGATTTAGCACGGGAGGCCGTCATCACGAACCATGGTTGAAACTCCATGCTGAGCATCTAGTTTTCCGCCGATAGCCAGCCGGTTTTAGCGGACACGAATTCTTGAGAGGCTATCACCTCGATTCCGCAGGAGGTCGTCACCACGAACTATGATTGAAGCTGCATTGGATGGCTAACGCTCCGCCGATAGCTGGCCGATTTAAGCGGACACGAACCCGCGGGATGCCAGAATTACGATTAATGCTGCGTTGTAAATTCAATGCTCATCTAATTGTCAGTCGGTATTGACGGACACGACTCTGGGAGAGACACCTTTAATCATCGCCCACCGGAAAGCATAAAAGCTTGCAATTTCTCTTCATTATCTACTCCTTCTCCGGGCAGTACAACAAAATGCCAGGGGTCACTACAGGAATTATTCGCGCTCCTCCCACAGTCCCCCAAGATCTTACTGGCATGGTTCATTACGAGAACACCATCGAAATAGCAGGAGGACATGCTCACATTGTCAAAGGCAGCTACATCGATTCCGATGGGTCAGCATTCAGCGTGCGACAATTTTTCCACTCCAACTCGCACCACCGCTCACATAATTTTATCAGGTCGCTGTCAAAATTGTCTTGGTCGTGGACCCTTTCACAGGAAGGATTTGCAGCGTAGATCTACCAAAGTATATCAAGGTAGATTTTTTCCGCCAATCTCGTAATCGGCACCCTCACGTCTTGTCTTTGCAGCGAGGCCGTCGAGAACGAAAAGTCTGGCAGAGGCCCAAGCACGAAAATATTATTCCCTTGCTAGGCATCACCACGGACTATTCATCCCCATTGGCCCCACCTAACCCGATTGCTATGATCTCGCCTTGGATGGAAAGGGGGGACCTATTCAAGGCATTGAATGATAACATATCTTACTCGGATCGTATGCATCTTGCGAGTGCTACCTTCAAAGCAGCGGCGCCGCAACTGACTTTTTCTCCGGATCACAGTTGTGTGGTGTGGCCAAAGGACTCCAGTATCGTGCGTGCAATGACTATTGGGGGTGAACGATAATTCTGATAATTTATAGTCCACTCTCTGGGTATCATTCATGGTGATCTCTATCCCGTAAGCATCCATACCATAATCTCGTTTCAAATATACACATTCTGACTGGGCCGCATGCATTGCAGGCCAATGTTCTTATCAACGACGAGGGCAACGCATGCCTCACGGATTTCGGGCTCTCATTCGTTCGTCCAGAATTCCTTGACACGTCTTACTGGTCTCGGTCAGTTGGTGGCGCTATACGCTGGCGCGCCCCCGAACTTGTGCCACCTATATCTCCAGTACTAGATATGGGGGAATACGTCCCAGATCTAACAAGCAAGTGCGACATATACTCCTTTGGTAGCCTTCTCTTGCACGTTCGTACACAATATCTCACTTAATTTGTCTCACTTGGCTGACGTTTATATGCTGCAGGCTATATCGGGTGAATGGCCCTACCATACGAGCCAGGACCACATGGTCATCATCTATCTTCACCATCGCACCCTACCGCCGCGCCCACAAACCTTGATAGATGCGCAATGGGAGCTTATCGCTTGGTGCTGGGGTGAAAACGGTCATGCGGCCACACGACCGACTGCTGGAGAAATCTTGACGACCATTTCAGCTCTCTAAGCAGTCTTGCCTATGAATCTGGTGAGCTGGGAGGCAGTTGCTGTGGTTGGAGTGTGTCTGGGAGGGTCACGGTGCTCGCCGGCGGATTCGTGAGATATAACCGACGTAGACATCATGTTATGTTGAACGAATGCTTCAAAGGCTCTTCTCCGCCCCCGAGGAGTGCACACTCCTTCTGCGCGGAAGACGTCAGGTGTCCAAGTACGAATCAAGAGCACTTACGATGAGATGTCTTCTTGCCGTGAAAGATGCGACTCGACGCTGAGACCATGGCCAGCGGCAAATAGGTGGGAGATGAGCGGCAAGGCACTCAACGCAGATCCAAGAAGCTCCATGAAAAGCATTGCGCAAAAGGAAAAGCGAGATGTGCCGTCCTCGGGCTCGCCTCCAGCCTCACGGAACGTGACTGACCACCAAACTCGAGTCGCAGCTCCAGAGAAGCGCATGAGGGAAAGATCATGTGCACGCTTGCTGCGATGCGCGCGTCCGGGGTTACTGCGGCCCCTCCTGGATGACTTCTGCGTGCGCTCTGCTCCGAGAGGTGCTCGGGCACCGGACCCTGCACGGCAATTGCGGTTGTCGCCCAGGTTTTGGATTTCTTGAGCAGCTCGGCGGACGCCAAGCTCTTGCTGGCTTGCTTGAGATTCTTGAGACTTGATGATGGAGGAAACTCGATGATGGTGGCAGGCTTGAGAATGGTGATAGACTTGAAGATGGCGGGAATCTTGAGGATGTTGGCGGGCTTGAGAACAGCGGCGAGCTTGAGGATGGAGGCGGGCTTGCTGTTCTTGAAGCTTGAAGAGACGAAGTCGGGGATGCTTAAGGCTTGGCTACCACTGGTAGGCACGGGCGGTGGTGACGGAAAAGCTCGTCAAGCCGCCTATGTGTCTCGAGATGATTATTTCCTGTAACTTCGCTTGCGCGCCGAATGTGAAACGGCTCGGATTTTTGCGAGCTGTGTCGCAGGCACCTCATCAAGGCAGATCCTTCTGCGCGTCCGAGCCATCAGCCCCTGGGCGCCTATTGGCGTACTGGTCCTCGTTGTTTCGTTACGCCTCTAGCTAGCCACGTCCGCAATGGAAGCGGGGATCACCACGCTGCGGGAGGTGAACATTAGCTAATTCTGGGAAAAGAAATGGCAGCGCACCATATGGCATAGTCGAGCCAACGTCTCAAAGCTCGAGTCTCTTGCCATTCGCACGCCTGGCATACATCGCCTCATATAAGACTTTCCAATACGCGAGAAAGCGCTGCATGCATGCATCTCCAGCCAGGGCCCTGGGAAACTATTGGTGTTGACCAAATTGGCGATTGTCTTGCCGGCGATGACCAAAGAGCGAAAAATCTATAGGTAAATTCGTCAGACAGAGTGTATCTGTGACATTTTCAACTACCTGGGAACTCGTGGGATGGCGGCGTAGAACGCGCCTGAGCTCAGCGGATCCACCTCATTCTCTCGTCCTCTATTAGAGGGAAGTGACGGTAGAGAATTCTTATTGCCCAGAACCAACGCCAAGTTTAACCAAGTTTGAAGATTCTGCTAAGTCCGCTTGTAGTTCGCGATGCGGGCAGGAGAGGGTAGCTCCAGCTCTAGCTCCGATGGGGCTTGACCGCGAGCTGCCCTGAATGGCAGGCATGTCCTGCTTAAGATTAAGATGAGAAACTAGAGGTGAGCCGTTGACTCGGATGTTGAAGCTCGTTGTCGATTGAAGCTTCGAGGCCTGCCAAGGATGATCGCAATGACCGCTGGCGGTCTTGAAGAATCATTACAGCAACGTTGAGCTGCGCGACTTTCCAGAAGTTAATACGGCGCGCGGCAAGGGGGAAAGGCTGACATACGCTGATGGAGACGGAGAGAAGGGCGATGAAGTCCAAAGATCTATCGAGCCAGCTTCAAGAGCATAGCCTCACACGTGATCGCGACTTCACATCCTCCTCTTAGCTACCAATTCGCTCCAGAGTCTAGACCGCCTTTGCTTTGCACATACACCCCTGATAACCTTGCTTCGATCCTGATTTGTAGACAGCAACATGGTCCTCGGCCTATTTGCGTGCAAACTCGCGCGTCCAACCCAGGTCCAGGTCAATGGAACCCGACTCTACCCGACTCGAATTCGAAGCTGGCTTCGAAGTTCGAACTCAATCCTGTTTGGTTGAAATCTGAAATGTCTTTTTCTTCTCTTTTCTGGAGAAATATAAATTATAGTGCATTCCATCATTATAGCACCTGCTCAGAAAGAAATCCGCTGACTTGGATTCATTGCTCAGCGTGTCTGATGTACACCTGCCGACAAAGCCCCCACCCGGTCTGCAGGTTGTCAGAAGACTTCGGGCCGTCAGCCTGACTCCTGAGTCGAGTTGAATTAAACCCGCGAGCCCAAGCCGCTCTGATAGTGATGCTGTTAGGCGACAAAGTGCGTGATTCTATTCATCTCCCCCAATTTC